ATAAAACCAGTCCTTGCTGCCAAAAAGGCTGGGAACCACTGGTCTAAGGTAGAGGCAAGACATTGAAAGCCTATGGAGCTGTAGCTGAGAGGGCACAGTCAGAGGGAATTCAGCCAAGATCCTACTGGGCCTTCTGATAACTTTCAGTTTTTATCCTAAGAGAAATGAGGATCCATTGAAATGTTTTAAAAAGTGGAAATGGCACAACAGATTTTGTGTTGTGAATTGAAAATTTCAGAGACTACACTAGACGGGGATAAAGTCAACAGAGAGAGTTAGGAGAGTCAGGTCACAGTCTGGGCATGAGACATGGAATGAGGCCAGAATAGTGGTGGTGGAGACGGAGAGAAACACGTGCACTGGAGATCGGGTTTGGAAGAAGTCGCCCTTGGCAATAGATTGAGTGTGACAGAGGGAGAGAATAGAGCAGGTTGTCAATGATAACACTTAGGTGTCCGGCTTGTGCACTGAAATGGATTATAGTGCAATATTAGGGAGGATTTATTTTGAAAGGCATATTGTTTGTTTTATTTTAACCTCAGTAAATTTGGGATACTTTTGTAACCCAAATGGAGACATTAAGTTAAAGTCGGATCAACCAGAGGAATTCGGAAGAACATTCTCGGCTAAAGGTATGAATCTGGAAATCATTTACCTATAGCTAATAACTGATGCCCTGAGCTGGAATGAGATCTAGGATGAAAATAGGGTCTGGATGGAAGTTCTTAGCCAGAGCCTTGAGGAATGTCACCATTGTCGCTGGGCAGCAGATGATAAATTCTGCCAAGGAAATAAGGTTAGTGTGAAAAGAGATACACATAGAAATATCAGAAGAATGTCACAGAGAAAGGGCTCAGAATGTTCATGAAGAGTGTTAACATCTTAAAAGGTCTGCTAAAAGGTCAAGAAGGAAGAGTATCGGAAACTCCCCTTCTGATGTAACACCATGGAGATCACTGAGCACCCTGGCAGTGGTATTGAGGTGGACTGAGGAGGCAGGCACTAAAGCCTGGCTGGCCAGGAAGTGAGGGGAAAGGGAGGTAGAGGGAGGAACACACAGCTATTTGCAGAGTTTTGGCAGTCAGGGTGGGAGAGAGAGGTGACTGGAGTGGGGTGTGGTTGGTTTTGTTCCTTATATGGCACGTGTTTATACGTGGTTGAAAGCTAATGGATGGGATTGAATGGGGAAGGAGAAGTTGAGATATAGGAGAGAGGAGGGGTGTGATGTATGGACCTTCCCAAGAAAGCAAGAAGATGGGGAACAATTCAAGAAATAGTTAATGGTCTTCAAAAGTAGGGCCAGCCCTTCTACTTTAACAAAAGAAAAGTTTATGGTTTGTGTACAGATTTAGATAGGCTTGTAGTTTGGTAGACAGATGATGAGGGAATTCTTGTCGGATTCTTTGCCTTTTCTTTGTATTTAAGAGATAAGACCATCTTCTACTGGGGAGGTTTGAACGTCCGTGGTTTCAAGCTGGAGGAGATAGGGAAAACGTTACTGTGGAAAATGGATGGACTAGGCAACTGGAGAAGTTATTAGGTAACTAGGTAGTGGTAAGATTGCCAGACCGTGTTGTGGGCCTAACTGTTGGGTTTGCTGATTCTGAATTTATGGGATTATTCTGCCCTGTGCTTTATTTCTTGAGCTGTCTTCAGCTCCCTGGATTCTGGCACAGAAAATGGCAGGCATAGATTTCAGCTAATGTAGAGTGGAGGAGGTGGGCTTTGGAAAGGGAGAATTGAAGAATCTAAGAGCTTCAGCAGTACATTGGCCAGACCTATGAAGGTTGAAATCATGCAGGATGATGGCAGAGTTTGGAGAAAAAAAAAAAGGCCATGAACCCCACAAAAGAATCTTCCCTTAGAAAAGGAGATGTGTGGAGAAGTTCTAGACAGCAAAAATCAGCCAGAGAAGAGCATAATATAGCTGGATTGCATGAGCTTCAAAAAAGAGAGGGTTTGTTAATAAAAAATCTAGTGGGTGGAAGAAAAATAAGCAACGGGAAGTCAGGAAAGAAACTCCAAAGCCTGACTCTGAATTTCACAGGCAGGTGAGGAGGAATAAATCCACAGCTGCCATATGAGAAGACTGCAAAGAAAGCAGCACCCTCAGGGAAGGGCCAGGTTGCAAGTAAGGCAAGGATGTTGACGTTTACGAAGCTGTGGTTACAGAGAGCACAGTTGCGAAGTGTGGATTTAGACCGAGGCAAGGCTTTGTATAATACAGAATTTCAAATTGCCACTGCCCTATTTCTTTCAGTGTGCAAAAGCTGCTTTGAAGCAAGCTTCACTTTGACTGCCCTAGATGAATGCTTCAGAGATCAGCAGAGAAAAAGGGTTATGGATATCTGGCCGCACTGCTAATTAATAGCTGTGGGGGAGGCTGTTCAATTCTTATCCCAGCCACAAGTAAAATGAATAGTTAGGGAGTGCTGCCGAAGAATGGGTTGTTTTTTTTTTTTTTTTTTCATGTATAAGAATGGCAACCCAGAGTATGAAATCAGAAGAAAAAATTAATGAAACTCATCAGCTTCACCTTGATTTACAAGATTCTGAAGGAGGACGGTGGTAGCTCTCTGATAATATGCAATATCATTGCTTTATGTGTAGAGCTCTTCTGACTTAGTGCAGTTGGTAGTGAAGGCAAGAGGTTCCTTGACAAGTGTGTTTATCAAGTACATCTGCAGCGTGATTTTGTATGCTCAGTTGCAGCCTCCGTCATTCTCCTCCATGCTCATTTAACATGATGGACTTGTTTGGCAAATCCTTCAGGTGGTGGGAGGACAGGAAGGGGGAAGCTTACTCTGGATCATAAAATAAAAGATATTGGTCTCTGTCACACACTCCAACTCTGCCTTCTCCTCATCCTCCTTGATCATTACGATTATTTGTAGTAAAGAAAATGAATGGCTAGCTGGTGTAATCCTGTGTATCTGTTGATTAGTTGCTCACAGCACCATGGAGAAAGGACTGTGGTATAATTGTCTGGTTTGACTTGAATTCTTGATTGGGGGAAAAGAAGTTTGACAGATTCTTTAACCTGCAGCTCATGGAACTTCATGGAGTCTCACTGAATGAGACAGTTCAGATACATTGCTCCAACTGTGGTGTTCATACTAGCCAGCAGCAGCAGGCATCTGTTTAGTGCTACATGCCACACATACTGTGCTGAGCATCCTGAGTTCGTTTATTTCCCCACATATCACAGCCTGGTATTTTTTACTCACATATTACAAAACATAAAACTGAGGTTCTGGAGTTTACGCCCAAGATCAGCCCAAACTCTGGGCAAGACATATCTCCAAGTACTGTATTCTTCACCAGAACGCTCTAGAGCAGTACCATCCAAGAAATGTAATGAGAACCACATGTGAAATTTTAAGTTTTGTAGTAGCAACAGTGAAAAAAGTTAAAAGCAGATGAAATTAATTTTAATAATTTTATTTAACCTAATATATCCAGATTATTATTTCATCATGTAATCATTATTTTTTAAATTATTACTGAGATATTTCACACTCTGTTGAATGCTGTGTTTGAAACCCAGTGTGTCTTTTATATTTACAGTGCATTTTAGTGTGGGCTAGTAACATCTGCAGTGCTCCCCAGGGGCTAGTACTGGGCAGCTCTGGTCTAGACTCTTAGAGGAAACAGAGTTCTTAGTCACTGAGTTTATAATAGGTTTTGCTTTGAGGTGAGTAGGAAGAGGCCTTCCTGACCTCTATGGTCTCTGTGATTGGTCTCTGTGATTCAGTGTGGCACAGGGTTGGAAGTGTCCTTCTTCTTTCTTTGTCTTGTGTGGTGACCTCCTCTTTTAAAGGTATGTGGGTATGTTTGGGTTCGTGTGTGTGCATTTTCATTTTCACAGTAAATCTCCACAAAGTATATGGAAATACTTTTCTAAGGACCATGGCCACCGTTAAGATAAATGTAGGTTTGCATCCCCTTACTGTCTGTTTTTATTTGGCAATTATTTAATCTTTACAGATCGGTCTTTTTGCCTGTGACCTATCCTTGTAGCCTTAGACGCTATACCTAGGCTTTATTCAGATGTCTCTGTAGGAGGACAAAGCCAGATTATGCATTGTACTATATACCTGAGAAGTAGGAAGTGATTAATATGTTGTTATTATACAGTATGTTCAAAGTCCTTGTATAGTTACTACCAAGGATCATATGAGCAGAGTCCCTTAACAGGAACATGAAAGCAGGGTATATACTATACTGGAGTGACAAAACAGCTTTACAAATAACGCATACCTATTGGTGGTCTGGTACCTTTATACATTACTTACATTTTAATTGACCGTTCTCAGTGTAAGGATTCAGTTACTTTTGTCTCTTTGTATAGATATCCTTGTATTGATAGCTATGTTGAAAGCCCTTAGGTTGTGATTTTCTCCAAATTTCTGCAGTACTTACCTTGAGGTTTGCAATTTGATGGGTATAATAGAAGAGCATTGTTAATGTTTCACTCTATGCAATTATACCTAGTTTTTATCACTTGTATTTTTCAAATTCAAATAAAGAAGTGTTTTAGGTTTGTATAAACAACATAGTAATAACAGGTATTTATGTGAGCTAAGACTAAAATTTTTCTTATACAACCCCTTTTCAAAACATCTTCTTATAAATGAATGTCATAGAAAATATTTGGTTCAGCAGCTTATGGCAGTAGATTGCAGTATTCCAGCCTTGCACATGTCCGGCACCAGGGCCCTGACAAACTAGGCCTGCTCTGTTTTATGATACCTAATAAAGAGCAGTCAACCATGATGATATTACCATACAAGATCATTGCAGTCTCACATAAATGTCTTCCCATGTTGTTTTCAAAACTGAACAAACAGGTGGTTATTTGTCATTGATATAAGAAATGGACAAGTCACTCCATATCCATAATTTACCTTCAGCCTCGCTGGCCTGTGGAAGATTTAAGGGTATATCCACTTTTTCCTCCTTTGAATTAACCTTACTTTTGTCTATTCATTCTTGTGCAGAGGTTACTACATAATAATTGTGCCTTTGAAGAAATCTCGTGGGAAATTTATCAAGCCATGGGAGAGTCCAGATGAAATGGAATTAGATGAGGTAACTATGTCATTGTTGGCTGTGTCTTTCATTAGTTATTTAATTTGCTACATATCTGCCTCCTCCCTATGGAGGCATTTTAGGATCGAATCTGGGTATTGGCTTCTCCATACCTAGCTGGTTGGATGGTTCAGTGCTGTTGCTATGCTAACCCTTGGTGATCCCAACAAAGATCCTTTTGCTTTAATTAAAAAATATTAAGCTGCAATAAAGCTTACAACCTGTCTAATCTTTGTCGGCATTAATATTTTGCCCCTTGCCCCTTGTAAAACCTGATGCAGAGGTGTGGAAGGTGAAGTGAATTGTCAGCAAAGACTTAATCACCATTGATAGAAACCCCAAGGTCCCCGTCATTAGTGCAACAGTTGCTGAGGCTGATAAAAACACCAAATTACAATTTGCAGCAGAGTTCATTTGACCTACTATGTGTTCTTGTCCAGTTTCTCACAGAATTCTGTTGATTAGAAAATGTTTGCCTTATTCTCTATTCTGTAGGTTTTCAGAGTCAAAAATGCATTTCACTATTGAGAAAGTAATACAACTCAAAAAATTGTGAGCAAAGCAAAATATGTAGAACAAAAAACAACAAATGCTAAATATATAATGTGGATTTCTAAAATCTTCCAACAGCAGGTGCATTATAATTGGTACCCTTCTTGTATAAGGACATTTTTGAAAGGTAATGCATAATATGAAGAAAAATACATAATTATCACATACTTCTATTTAGATAAGAAAATATGATCCAGAAGTGTTGAGCTAGATCCCCAGAGGACCATAGCAAGTTAATGAGTAGAATTTGCATTTTAAAATACGGAAGATCCCTTGTTATTTTAACATGATGCTGTTTTCAATCACTTTTTAAGGCAAATAACCATAAGACCCCATTTGGAAAACATGAGATTTTAATTTATTGGGTTTATTTACAACATAGGCCACATCTCATAGTATGACCTTTTATTTCCGCATATTTCTTCTACCTCAAATTGTTACAAACAGAGCAAGGAAAAGAATAAATTCCCTACCCACATTACAGAGAGGTTATGTTTATTTCATACCTATGTCTGCACACAGGAGACACAAAGGAGGCTGTGATCTGACCAAAAAGATTGTTAGCTTTCTTTGGCAGACATATGTCATCTCTAAAAGTGGGATTTATGATCACTGGCTTCATTTATCTGAATTAAATTTGGTCAAATTCAGAAGAGGAGGTGAGTTCAAGGTTAGGTGTATGCTTTTGTGTCACTAGTGATTAGATGATCATTGAAGCTGTGTAAAATGAGACATTATTTCAATAGTGTCATCAAGTAATTTAGATATGTTATTATTTTAATTGTTTTGTATTGACGGTAAAGGAACAAACTCATTATTCTGTGACATTGAAACAATAGTAATCCTTTAACTGAAAATACAGAATGATCAGCTGGCTTTGAAGCAAAACATGATTTTACTCGCAACTAATCAGTTAATCTTGGTATAGTCTGTACTATTTTCATTGGTTCTCAGCTGAATTACAGAACTGTCATCATGCCATTTAAGTTGGAACGGGACTTAAAATGCAAAGGCAACTTGTAGAATCTATGAATTGTTCTACTTATTAAAAAAAAAAGTTTTTAAGGCATTGAGAGCCAAGCCAAAATGACATCAAATACTTTTAAATAATAAGCTTTCCTTATAAGTGAAGCCATTTGATAGTAAGTAATAGAAAGTGATTCTCTTTAATAGCCAGGTTTTAACCTCCAAAATGCACAGCAACACTAATGGATTAAACTATAGGGCTATATGACTTTGAACTTTCTTGCAATTAAATTCTGTGGGTCTCTGCTGCTGATTCCCATAACAAAGGGTCATTTTAATCATCCAAGTTGTGGTGCATTAATCTGTATAATAGTTTGATAAAGAACATTTTATTAATTCAAAATTTTTGGGTCGGGATGGGTTGTTTCCCACTTTTCTTACTGATATAATTGAGACCACATTGTAGAATTAATGGTGGAAGAAATAAGATATGCATTGACTGGAAAATGAAAATTATTTCTGATAAAGAACTAAGCCCTTGATATATCTCCTGGAATTACCTCCAATACATCTTGTAACCATTGTGGAGAGGAACAAATGAAAGTAGGCTATGCCCTCACTTTATGCTTACTCATCCAGTTTCTGATCCCTACAGACACATTTTTTTTTTCTACCATGGATAATAAAAGCTTTGTAGTAATTTTATCTATAGCTTGGTACTGCCAGGTTTGACAAAGCAGTGTTCGTCTCTTAAATGTATTCGATCAGGTAATTTTTCACAAAGGCCTGTAATTCAAATTGCTGGAACCATATCATTGAATAGAATGGTGGCCTAAGGGGATTTCCACATGCATGCCTCATATCTAGGCCCATAAAAAATTGAAAGAAGCTTTCCAAACAATATTACTCTCGAAATTATCTTCTGAGTTCGTTTATCCTTTGTCCGGAGATGCTCTCCACATGATAAATTTATAAACTGAAACTCCTATTGTCAAGGTCAAACTGGACAGAGAAGACATTGATAGTCAAAATGAATTGGGGCAGAATGACTCCCAAAATGTTAGTGATATTTAATTCAGAGCAGGTCATGTAATATATCATGAGCTTTTCATTGCATTGTACTTCAAAGTCTTATCGTAAAATAAAGTGGTCATTTGTGGTTGTAACCGCAGCATGCTGGCTAACTTTGGTGTCATCTGAGCTCATTTGAACCATTTAACGTGTAACATAGGAAGCATCCTACAGAGATTATAGCAATATAAAGGGGCAGAGTGATGTTACAGGTTTGACTTTAATGAATGACTGCACTGGATCTAAGAATCCAAAAACTCAAATATTTTATTCTGAATTAATTCCTATAAGTCTTCTAAAGAAACCCTAGCAGAAAGTGCTTGTGGGAATGACAATGATATGGATGAATTATGACTATTAACTACATCTGCACTATGAATAAAATCAAGGTAGGGTTTGATCAGTAAAGTAGAAAAGGGGACACAGTCACGTAAACAACTCATGATAAATGTTTTTGATCACCCAGCTTCAAAAGCTATTCAGCATATCCACAGTGCATTTTCCTTCTTGGTGTAATAGGTTACTGTCCTTTACTACATATCAACAATAAACCGTATAATGAGGCTTCAGTTATATTGCATTAAATATTTGGCATCAGATTTTTAAAATTAGCTTATAACAAGAATCAAGAAAAAGGAAATAACACATTCATCTGTCTTGATATAAGCAGATACATATTTTATGTATAAATACACACTGAGTTAAAACGATTTAGAGTATCAGAGCTTAAACATCACGTTTATATTTCCTTATGATATTGTGTAATCATTAAGTAAATTATAGTTGAAAAAATCTCTAACGTGGGATTTCGTTTTATTTCACTAATTGAGTCTAATTATATAATAAGGTTTTCTATTGTACCTTAGTTTCCTCATTTAAAAAATGAGGATATTAACCATCCTTATTGGGTTCTAAGGGGTAAATTGGAGCTAATGCATGCTTAGAATCCCTAGAACTGTGTCTGGCACCTAGTAATTGCTTAATAAATGAAAACTATTATTGTTACAGTTACCATCATTATTAAAAGTAAAGCTAAATTTGACAACCAGATTAAAAGGTAGTGCTAACTTTCTGGCCTTGTGTTTTTACTGGCCATTTGGTGCATTGTTGATCAGCATAACTGAATTTATTATGAGATGATCCAAATTTGCCAGCCAACTAATGCCCAATCTACTGTGCTTTTCCTAAAACAGCTTACATTTCGTGTCATTTTAATTGCATCAATTCACGGAAAATTTTGGCACATTTTAAATTAAATATTATTGAAAAATAATGTAGGCCAAAATTTTCCTATAACGGAAAGACTTTTTTTTTACATTTTTGGGATACAGTTTTGAACCAGCTGAAGACATTTGCTAATCCCAGTGTAGAAGGAACTGTACGGTATCATCAGATTCCTAACAGACTCATTCAGTGTTTATCATATATACAGTCCGAAATCATTTTATTACAGAAACCTAGCCTTGATGATGCCAGGCTCTCATTCTACAAAGGAAAGATCACTGCTTTGGCTTTCATTA